TTTAGCTGAAAAATCTCAACATTAGCATTTTTTGTTATAAAGGAAATAAACACAAAGAGTTACACATAAATACTAGATCCCCATCTCACCTCTAATGCATACTTGTGTGTGTGTGTTTTTCATCTGCTGAATGTTCAAGATGGGGTCTGTTTAAAGACAGGTCAATAAATGAAGTATTAATAGAACTTTAAACTGAGCTTGATTCTCTAAAGATAAGTATTGCTTATTTATCTTCACTCCTTGGCCAGGATTGATTCATATAGTCACTCTAGGGGCAAAACTTGCTTTATCACAGACAGTATGCTCATTTGTTGTGATTGGCAGATGGATTGGCATCTGATGTTACTGTTGATGAGCCTGCCCATCATTTGCAAATGAGGTTCACAGTTCACACTTTCAACCTTGTTTGGTCCTTGAGTCCCAGGTGACTAAGGAGTGCATTATTCCATCAGCACGAAGTAGAGTAATTGTGATTCTTTCTCTCTCTCTCCCTCCCTCCCCCACCCCTTAATAGGGCAATCTTTGAAGGCCCTTCTCTCTATAATTACAGCCAATACAGATTGAACCATTCTGGTCCAGCTACATTCGTAGTCCGGCAGGACCATGGGTGTTGCTAGACCTGAGGGCCCCAGCGATAGAACTTGAGAGCATCTGGGAGCGGCAGAGCTGGTCTGGCTGGCAGCAGCCCATAGGGCCAGTGGCCTGAGGGCAGAGAGCCCTGGGAGTGGCTGCCCCACGCAGGGGCAGGGAGCCCTGCAGCAGTTGCCACCCATGCAGGGCCAGGAGCAGGGAACCCTGGGAGGGAACCATGTGGTCTTGGGGGCAGGTCCATGGAGAAAATTTTCTAAAGCATGCAAGTGACTGTGGAGCCCAAATTTAATTGAAAGTCAATGGAAGTGCCTATACTGCTTCTAAAAATGGGACTTAGACTGTAAGTCATCAGAGTGCTTTTGAAAATTTGAACCTATATATTTAAAGAGGTTTTATACAGATCCCATTTACACGCTGGCTCTCCACCTCAAAACAGCTCCCCAAGAAATAAAAGCATTCAGTACTTAAACACGGGTAGTAGATCAAAGTGACATCTCTTCTCTCATATAAGCAAAGAAAGGACTGAAGAAAGTTTCTTCACAGCATTTTCTGATCACTTCCACCCTTCTGTCCTTCCATTTCCAATGTAAGGGCTCCATTGTGGATCTTGGGACACTGAATGCTGAGGTCATTACATAAAAGTTCTGTGTGGTGTCTTTAGATCGGTCTTTGCCCCCTCAAATCAAGGGGACTGGCAATAACTTTGTGATATTCAGCTTAGCAAAGTCACCAAGGATAGATCTTAACCACAGGTGCTTACAGTCAAAACAAGGGTAGATGAGAAGGGGAGGGGCAGTGTAACAAGTTAGTAAGAAAGCAGTAATGTTAAGCACAAGTTGTGGTGGTTCATGGGGTTTTTTAACTGTTTTTGAAGAGATGACATGAGTTTATAGAACCCGTGGAAGGAAGCATGTTTTGAGTGGGGATTTGCAGTAGATATGGCATTGTAGACAAGGGAGAAGTCCTAGACATGAGGTACAGGATTGTGAAAGTGACACAAAGTTGGTAGTTATATATGCTGTTTGATTAGATTGAAATAACTGAATGTGGGAACAGAGAAGAGAGGAAATGATAAATTATTAATTCCCAAGTTATTCTAAAATATGCATCCAAAACAGCCTATGAAGGTTTTTCAGTCTATCTTTTGTTCTCTCCAGGAGTGCTAGGTGCAGTACAGTGTCCTGGCACTGAACAGTATTAAATAAGCTACAGATTTTCATAAATGAAATATCCAAAAAGTTAAACATGCATATGATCACATAATTATATTTTATATCAATGAACAAAATGGAATAGAGTAAATATTCTTGGGTCAAACACAGCCCTGCCAAAACTCAATTGCAGTTGATGGGACCTACACCAGAGATAATGTAAGTTTTTTGTGTTTTGAAGGCCCCAAATCTGAAGCTTTTGAATGACACTTATACATAATAAGATAACCCTTTCTGGTCAATGAATAGTCCTGTGGCACCTTAAGGTACATCTATACTACAGAGAAGATTGAAGCTGCCACTGTTGATCTTCCAGGGTTCAAATTAGAGGGTTTAGTTAAAACAACTAATTCAAACTGAGAGGAGCAATCTGGTTCATGCTGGTAGTCCTGCTTCTACAAGAAGTATGGGAAGTTAACGGAAGAATGTTCTCCCTTCAACTTCCTGCAGTGTGGACAGTGCCAAAAGTCAAGTTAAAATACTTTGACTTACACTACTTCAGCTATGTTAATTCTGTAGCTATCTTAATTCGACCTTGTCCCATAGGGTATGTCTAGACTACACCTCTCTGTCAACAGAGAGATGTAGATTAGGCACATCGAAATTGCTAATGAAGCAGGGATTTAAATCTCCCACGCCTCATTAGCATAAACATGGCCACAGCTTTTTTTTCCGAAACTGAGGTTTTTTTTAAAAAAACGGCAGTCTAGACGCAGATCTGTTGAAAATAAAGCCCTTTTCAACAGATCCTGTATTCCTCAAAAAATTGAGGAATACAGGATCTGTTGAAAAAGGCTTTATTTTCGACAGATCCACATCTAGACTGCCTTTTTTTGAAAAAAGCGGTGGCCATGTTTATGCTAATGAGGCATTGGGATATTTAAATCCCTGCTTCATTAGCAATTTCAATGTGCTTGATTTGCATCTCTGTCGACAGAGGGATGCAGTCTAGACGTAGCCATAGCGTAGAGCTTTTGTGGGCAAAACCCACTTCTTCAGATTAGATGAGTGAGGGTGAAGAAAAAAAGGGGGATCCTCAGACTAAGAAGGGCAAAGAGGAAACAAAAAAGTATCTGTCAATTGTAGAGTGAGTAGATCAATGTAGTATATCAACAGATGATGAAACTAGTGTATGGCTTATGGCCAGCTCATTCCAGATTTTGTTAATCTCAACAGACTTGCTAGATTTGTGGGCTGTAAAAGACTTGTAAATTTTGATGTTATTTTCAGCCAGCTCTCCTTTTTTAATGATAAAACTATAGACAATCTACACCATCAGGAAACTCAGTCAAAATGGATGTTCAGAATCATGTATCCTGGATTTGGCCAAGATTATAGTCGGTGTCAGCTACACTTTCACCAAAAGGAGGTAGACATTTTGAATGGGATGATGCTTGCCAAAGTATATCAACACCTTCAAATAGCTCAAAAAGAAGTCTGATGATTCTTGTCCAAGTAGAAGTGTCATCTTCTAGAGTGAAACTAAATTCCTACACTTCTCTTTCTCACATTTACCAAAGAAAATCCTCTACAGTTTACAGAATCTAAACTCTGTCTCCAGAAAAAGGATGTTTAGCTACAATATAGTCAATTCACAAATAAGAAGCTAGTCTTGAGAGTCCTTTATATCAGTATTCCTCATTAAATTTCTCTCCTGAATCTTTGAGATTCTTGAAACCTCCTGTATCTAATGTGCAACATTATTCCTATGATAATAACATATCTCTAGACTCATATACCTCTTTTTTGCTTGTAATAAATATGAATAAATATATGAATAAATGTTATTAATTTTCCAAAGTCTCTTCTTAAGGTATCATGTTTTAAAAATTGAATTGTGTCAAACCGGGGGTGTTTTCATCTCTGTCCTATTATACTGGCTCATTGCTTATCTGCACTTCATCTGCAAGGAAAAGTTTTTCTTGAGTCTCCTTAAGAAATCATCCCTTTTATGTTTCTTCTTGTGATCTTGCCTTGCTGGTAACAATTATACTATATTATCTTGTAAGTCTGATTAGAAACACTCCTAAGTCTTTTTAGTCTCCATGAATATTGAACCATGGATAATAGCTTTTTTGAGAATGAAAAATCACTGACAGTTCTCTGCAGAATGTATGATCAGTGAAGACAAACTTCATCTAATAGTAGGATCAACACCTAAGAATGTCCAGAATGAAAACTGTTCTGAAGATGTAGGTATGTCAGTTTATACCATACAGGGCATTATTTGGCTTTAAAGTATGTCTTAAGGTATTTGCAACTCCTCCCTGCAATTCGAGTACGGTACTATAGAGGCTCTTTGAAATCAGAGTGCCTAGCCAAGCTTCTGAGAATTCTGTTCTAGAAGTTCTAGAGAATTCTGGTCTGTCCTGAACAATCATTGAATTTAGCTGTATGACGATTTTAGTTTATGAATTCCATCAGTGAGCAGTGCACGTGGAAAATAATGGATGTATTTCCATTGTGTCTGCACTGTCAGCTAAGATGATGGCATTACTGGTGTGTTTAATAAAAGCTTTATTGGTATATTACTCGGAGTCATGATGTTGGCAGGAATGGTTCCCCTTTGGATTTGGAACTCTATGGTTAATGAAATACAGTGAACATTAATTTGGAATGGGCTGCTGGCTTTGGAAAGCCAGGTGATGTTTTATAATATCTGTACCAAATAGGGGCTGTGTCAGATACTGCTGTAGCTTCCACTGTCAGAGGCTTAGCTGGCATTATGGGGAAAAATGGCAGGCTTGAGAATCTTATCCCCTGAAATGAAAGTTGAATGCCAAATTTAAATTCCTGCAGGATTTCTGATAGCAATGGGGGAATTGAGAAGCCCACAATTAAGCATATGGGCATTAAGATAATTGTCAGATCTGTTGGCGGACATGATAGAAGACAGATGGGTACGAATCAGTGCGCTCCACTGCAGCACCCTGGGAGACAATTTGACGTTTTACCTGCCTGAGCTACTCTGCCATATTTGTCACTAAATGTGCTGCACAGCATCTTCTTGAGTGTTAAGTGGTTTTGCATATGATGTTGATATACAGTACATCGGCGCCCTCTAGTGAAAAAGCGACAAGGAACGTTATTTTTAAATGTCTGCCTTGCTCTTCAGCCTCTTGCCACTGTCTCAGAACTTGCTATATCCATATTCACCTGCACACATCACATTACACTCTGTGATTCTTCTGTTCACAGGTTGGAGCGCATCGTGAAGATGGCGTCAGTCTGCGTGGCAGCCATTCGCTTGTGCCAAATCAGGTTCCAGTTCCACAGCTGCCAGTTCAGTCAGCTACTTCCCCTGATTTAAATCCACCCCAAGATCCATACAGGGGTAAGCACATCAAAACATCTTTAAGGACACTGCCCTGTGCCTGTCTTAAATGCTCATATTGTTATATTAAAATCTTCTCTTAAAATCTTTAATTATACATGCTACAATGATTGGAATTGAGTCTAGTTGGACTCATAGTAGTGATCACTCAAATACACTGAGACCATAGTGCAACTTGAGTGGGAGGAGAGAGTCAGGAGTAACATGATATGTGGTTCTGATTAATCCAGACATCCTATCTGGTGTGCTTCTATAATCATAGTTAAAAGCGTCCAAGTAATTTAGCTCAGGACAACAATTTGTAGTACCAAGATAACTCAAGGAGTAGAGAAATTAGAAAATGTTTTAGGATATAAAATCAAAAAGAGTAAACTCAAGACTGAAGATCCATTGCACACAGAATTCCCATTGAGTTCAGTTAGATATGAGGAAGAATACTGAAGTGATTTAGTGTTACAGTATTTGCTGTGAATATTTGTGAATCTTGTAAGATTAACATGTATAGATGAAGAATTGTTTCAAAACACGTATGAAACTAACTGAACCTAGAGTACATCTAGGGTCTATCTTTATTCCTAGAAGCTGATAATTTTACAATTAAAGTATGGAAGAAACAACTCAAAATTTCTTTTATGATGGCTTATTCAATCTTCATGGCTAAGGTATTTTGATTATTTTATGAGAATGGCATATTAAGAATTTTTTTTTAAGAAGAAAAATTGGCAAGTGTAGAAACCAAGACTCAGGAGATAGGAATTTTAGGTCTTATTACCTGGCCAATACATGGCTTAAAGTGACAGGCTGGTGAAGATTATGAACTCTCTGTATGTCAGTTTCCCTTCTGTAAAATGGGAATGATACAGGTAATGAATGTGTATAGCACCTTCAAATCCTTGAATGGAAAATGTGATGGGGGGCAGTCTTTTAGTGCTAATTCTTGCTAAATCATTGCTCAAGGAGAAAGCTCAGTGTAATAGCTCATATGCACTTGGGTTCTTAATCAGAACATGAGATGTGTGATTTCCATGATTATGATTTTAATTGCAATTTAGTTGATGTTTGGTAGACAGTGAAATTACCATCTATTCCACAAAAATTGGGAAGTGGAATTGAGTCTCACAGCCAGTGCTGAAAAACAGTTTCAGCAGCTGCATTCTTGCACCAGTCAGTTCAGATGAGAGGCTCTAAGAACAGACAAGAAAACAGATCCAACAATAGGTGGCATTTAAAAAAATATACATGAAAATACGTTCAATCCTTTGCTTAAACATTGGTAACAGAAAATCTTTGTATTTTCCCATAGGTATGCCAACTGGCCTGCAAGGGCAGAGTGTATCTTCAGGTAGCTCTGAAATCAAATCTGATGACGAGGGAGACGAAAACCTCCAGGACACAAAATCTTCTGAGGACAAGAAACTAGATGACGACAAGAAGGATATCAAATCAATTACTAGGTCAAGATCTAGGTAACAGTATATAATAGTGTCGCTTCATTTAATTCCTTTACTGGATTTTGATGAAGTGAACAGAACAGGAAGAAACTCTTTGAGTTTTTTTCTGGCAGGTAAAACCACAGCCTAAGAGGAAACTGAAGGTTTGTTCTGGCAGTACTAAAAGTATCATTTCAGATACTTGTACTCCAGGACTTCCTACAATTCCTTTCAAATTATGAAATTGGACACTAAACAAATGATCCCCAATATAAAAAAAAAAATGTTTGAGATTAAAATGTGCTTAGCAGGTTGCTTTTCATCTACTCTGCTTAAAATTGGAATAAAATATTTATTTTCACTTATTACTGTGTGGTTCTCAAAAGGGATCACATTTGCATCTCAGTTTACTAGTGTCCAGCATATTGTACTCTTGTTTCTTACCTTTTCAAATGAATTTGTTAGGCCAGATCCTGTTGTAATATAAATCTGCATAGCTTCATAGAACTAACTGGAACGATGCCTGTTTTTGATCTGAGGAAGTGGGTCTGGCCCACGAAAGCTCATCATCTAATAAACCATCTTGTTAGTCTTTAAAGTGCTACATTGTCCTGCATTTTGCTTCAACTACCCCAGACTAACACAGCTACATTTCTATCACTGTTTACACCAGTCCTTTATCTTGATTTTAAGAGAAGCTGGGTGTTCATATCACACAATCTTCTCCCAAGAATGACTTGATATCTATAGATAAGCAAACATTTCTCCCTTGCAGGCATCGCTGGCTGTAAAATGCATGATTTATATTTGGATTGCCACTAGCTAAATATGTTTGTCTTGTTATATAAAATACTGCAAACCATTAGTGAAGACATATTCTTTGGTTTTTATCATCGTGGACCTTATGTCTTTGGTGAATGTAACTCACAGGCTAAGAAGCCCTAAGCATTAGCCATCAGAATAAAGGAGAAGTTTCCTATTACAATAATATCTAGTGGCCTGACAAAGCTGAGTTCTATGTTGAGACCTGGTCTGGAGTCAAGCATTTGATTTTCACCTTATAGTTCTAGATCAATGCTAAGAATACCATTAACATTGAAAATGGTGCCCTATCCTGGCTTGGTTTTGGTTTGTTTTTCTTTTTTAAATAAGACGAAGCAGAGTTTGAGGCTCTCTCTTTTCCTTCAAAAAATCACTGTCTTGGACATTATATGAAAGGGAGGCTGTAAATAAAATCCATCATCTTCATTCCAGAAACACTAGTTTAGATGCACAGAGCCAGCATTTTCCTCTTTAAAAAAATTTAAATAAAAAAACCCACTCTGAGAATTCAGAACTTCATTATTTGCAGTCAGGCACATATTGATTTCTAAAAATATTAATTACATGCACATCTATTACGATCAGAGTAAAAAGTATGACACTTAAAGTTTTCTCATAATAAATGATGTGTTGGAAAATCATATTTATAAGAGATGCTTTCATGTCCACATGTGATGTGGTGAGATGAGAGCACCTTTATGCTTGTGTAGGGTGATCTTTTCAGTTCTTGTTAATTTAACAAGTAGGCTGTCACTTATGTATATTAATGTGTGCTTTGAAGCTTTTGTAGACTGCTTTTGTGTTTAAGAACCTTGCATCTTTAAAAGGTTATTCTTGCTATTTTGTTATACCTTTAGATATATGTTGTTTACATTTTACCAATATATTTACATAACCAATGGGAAATATATATTAGCCACTGAGTCACTGGAAAATAAGTTTTCAGTTTAAAATCAATTTCATTATGTTTAGGATAGAAACAGATTTTATTGCACAAAATGATGCAGAAATTAAACATAGGGCTCAGAAGTTTCATAGTCCTTCCCGTATATGTTGCTTTTACACCCTGTTTGTGACTTGATAGTGCTTGTATGCTTCCTAAACCACCTTTATGTGGCTTTCTAAATCTGTATTATCACAGTTGCATCAGACTTGGCCAAGCCAAGTAGAGTAGGTCCCTCCACCACACAAACACACTCACCATCTAAATAACAGGAGCTGGTACTTCTAGAACAGCCCAATAGCTACAGTGAAAAAAATCTAACGGGAGGTCTATACTACAGTCGGAAGGTCAGCTTAAAGTATGCAACTCCAGCATAAATAATGTAGCTGGAGTCAATGTACCTTAAACCAAGGTTCAGCACAGTCATCACAGTGGGGGGGGGGTCAATGGGAGAAACTCCTGTCAATTTCTCTGAATCTTCGTGACTGCAAAGAGTACTGCAATCAACAGGGCCACTGTCAGCATTCCATGTAGCGGGTCTTTATTAAATCCTCCAAATCGAACATCAGCAGATTGACTGCCACGTTGATATCTGTGGCAGTGAAGACAAGCCCTAAGGTTTCCTCCTTCTGGCTGAGGTTTGTTATTTTTGAGATCCACAGGCCCGGAAAGACCCATTTTATGCTACATTAATAGATGGCAACAGATAATATCCATCCATCAATTATAGGAGAGTATGGGGCCTCTATTTGACTATGAATCCACTCACAATGGCATTGATAGAGAATGGAATAGGTGGCTAACGACACTGTGACCTGAACTGTAGGGTAAAAGAGGTATATTCTGCATGCAAGACACTAATCATGGTGATGTGACCCTGTTCTGCTCCTGCCTTTTAGTCTTGCAAGACATTACATGAATTCTTCTGCTCCTTGGTAAGGACATTCTGTTACTTTCTTTTTAGTCATGCATAGATGGCCTCTTTTCCCAGTAGACAGTCTTCTGGGACTTACATAACCTACAGGGCTATATATAATTTCAGCTACATAGACTGTGTAGTTATGTTTTTTATATACCTTGCTTTAAGAATACCACCAAATATTTTTTTTTAAATGACTGGAACTTGATTTGATTTGAGACTGGTGTGTTCACTGTGAGTTCAAAGTGCAGTGTGAAATATGAAGGAGTTATAGTTAAAATATCAGTTACTTAAGTTCCCAGGATTTGTCATGCATTCAAGTGTAACAATACTGGCTGTGGTGCTGCTTTTAAAAATGTTATTGAAAAGAACTATTCTCTCTTGTTCATGCTAGCAAAGGCCACTGTATTCTGTGTTGTTTAGCTGGTAATGGCTTCAGTACAAACCCAGGAACTCTCCTCGGAGCAAACTTTATAGAGAGGTTTCACTATGATTATTGGCACAATAATATATTGCACATGGAGCACAGGCTTGTTGGCAAGTTAGAATTATCCAGAAAATTGTGGCCTATGCGTTGCAGTGGTGGTTTAGTATGAAATCTGTTTTGAAAGTTTGAATTACTCTTTTCCCCCACACCATTAGAAAATACTGTGTTCCTTTTGTGTCTCAGCAATAATGACGATGAAGACCTTACACCAGAGCAGAAGGCAGAGCGAGAGAAAGAAAGGAGAATGGCCAACAATGCTCGGGAGCGCCTACGAGTGCGTGACATTAATGAGGCTTTCAAGGAGTTGGGACGGATGGTACAACTCCATCTGAAGAGTGACAAGCCCCAAACCAAACTCCTGATTCTACACCAGGCTGTGGCAGTCATCCTCAGCTTAGAACAGCAAGTCAGAGGTCAGTCTGCCAGTTCTCTCGTGTAACCCAGCAGCATTAAGCTCCACTAGTTCTCAAAAATCATTGCAAGCTGTTGTCAATACCGATAAAAACTAACTTTTATGTGCAAAGGCATGTATAATAGCACAAGAATAATTCCTCAATTTAATCATAGCTTACAGTTCTTAGAAAAATTCTCTTTTTTGCTTTCCATCAGATTTGGAATTTTTGGCTTTGGAATGCATAAAGTGTAATATCAGTAGCCTGCTTTTCGTCCCTCTCCTTTTTTGGCTGATCAGAGTTGCAAGGCTGTGTGAGAGTACATGAAATGAAAAAATAGTGAATGAACCCTTTGACGCTGTCTATGCCAAAGCTGTTGCAGCTAAACACTAATACATTTACAGCAGGAAAATTCTGATTCCCAGGACTTGGGGGCAAAAATAATTAGTAATTTCCCATTTTTTTAACCTGGAAAAATACTTCCAAAATTAAATGTACAGTATCACCCACAATGTGCCATGTGGAGAAATCTTATCTTAAAATGCTCACTGTTGCCTAAAAGAAGACAAATCAGTGAATCTGTAAATGTCCAGCTGCCAAAAAATGTTGCCACATTTTCTTAAATTCCTCTAGCTCTTTAGTTATGTTTTGAGATTAACCAGACCTGTTTAACACACAGCACCCATCTATAATACTCGATGATACAGAGATTATTCTAAAAATGCACTCAAGCCCACAGCTCTTGCATCTGGCATCTGATCCAGGTTTTGTACCTTAAGTTTAAGGGTTAAAGATTCTAGTTCAGCATGTTATGGAGACAGATTCTGATCTGAATCATGCGAATAGAGACTTAGTTCACTAATTTAGAGCACATCTACAGTTTACAGAAGGTCAACACTGCCACAGTCGATCTTCTGGGGTTCAAGTTAGTGGGTGTAGTATAGGCTAACTAGATCAAACTCAAAGGGTGCTTCCGTCGGCATTGGTACTCCTACTCCTTGTAAGAAGTAAGGGAAGCCGACGGGAGTGTTTGCTCCCATCAGCCTGCCACTGTGTGGACAGTGATTTAAGATTAGTTGACTCTAGCTACATAATTTATGTATCTGGAGCTGCATATCTTACTTCGACCTTCCTATGTAGTGTAGATCAGGCCTTAGTGTTTGGGCGTGCATGGATCTAGGGTTCCAATTCAAAATTCTGGTTCTAGTCCTATTTTCCATTTTTTAAATTATCTTTTGAAAATCTAACCCTAGTCACAAAATGAAGAAGACATTTTAGTCTTTGACATGCATTCCTGATATTCCCAATATTCAAATTTTGAGTTACTTAGGAAGATCCAAGATTTAGGGTACCCCCTTGGTTAGACCTGGGCAAAATACGTCCCACAGGCTGCATCCAGCCTGCCAATCCACTGGATCCGGCTCATAGAGGCAACAGGGAGCCCCAGGAAGGTTCCTCTGCTTGCCCCACAGCCCTGCATGCCATGCAGAAACGTGGCTGCTGGGCTCTGTTTCTGTTTCAAAACTGGAGGGGAGGGGGGAAAGCTTCAGGAGCTGCCCACGCCCCCGCCCCCCCCTCCCAGCAAAATCCCACTGGCTGTTTTCTGGCCAGAAACCAGCAAATGGGAGTTGCTTGTTTGAAAAACAGGCAGCCAAGAAGAACCACGGCCCCTCTCCTTAGCTCAGATATTCACTGAAGCACATGGCCAGGTAAGAAAGAGGGCAGTCCTCAACCACTTTCCAAAATCTTGGAGTGCCTTCCTCCCCTATCAAAAATTATTGCCTACCTCTGCCCTTGGTCATTGCATAAACATGAAGGTATTTGCAAAGCTTACGTACTGAGTTGCACTGCTTAAAACATCTAAAGTGGTCATGCCTATATCACAAATGCTACCCTGTAAATTTCTGTATCTTGAAAGGAATCTCGTAATAACAAATACTTCATATGGGGAAAAAAATCAAAGTTCAGTTGTGAAATGCACTCCAGAGTATACTGAAAATCTATAAGAAATAACTGATAAATTAATTGTTAGATGCAAATTCAGGAAACAAATCAGTTTGATGTAAAACTTGTCATATTTGAAATGACCTTTTGCTTCAATTCAACAGAAAGGAATCTCAACCCTAAAGCAGCATGTCTGAAAAGAAGAGAAGAAGAGAAAGTGTCTTCAGACCCCCCTCCACTTTCCTTGGCAGGACCCCACCCTGGGATGGGCGATGCATCCAATCATATGGGACAGATGTAAAAAGGCAAGTTCATTTTCAGCAGTGACCAAAGCACAATGAATACACAAGAAATTCTTCAAAAGACACCGAAAACAGAGTCATTCAGTAGAATCTGGGCCAGCTTGGGGATGGGGTTGCATATGTGCCAATACAAATGGAATTTGGCTCATCCTTTTAAAATTTACCTAAATTTAATCATCTTGCACCTGCACTTAAATTTCCAAGACAATATTCAAATAATTTGTTCAAAGAAGATAAAGTTAAAGATAAGGATAAATACCTGACTGATTTTTTTTTTTACTTCTTTCACAGGTCCAAGTTGCCACATTTCTTCATTTAAACAAGAGACCACTTCTTTAACAGCTGTATTATCTTAATCCCACATAAACACTTCTCCTTAACCCCTTTTTTGTAATATAAGACAAGTCTGAGTAGTTAAGAATCACAGACGCAAGAGATTTCAGCATTCCCAATTACTAAACAAAAAACAAAGTGCAACTTGAGGGACAACTCTCTTTAACATATCATTCAGAATGTTTAAAGCAGTATGTTACGAGCTGTAAATGCACAGCCTAGAGACTGAATGGCAATCTTCTCCACACTGTGGGACAATGCATTTGTGCCTAAACTTCTTTTGGAAAAAAAAATATAATTAATTTGTAAGTCTGAAAAAAATATTTAATTTAAAATTGTAAACTTGCAATAATGAAAAAGTGTACTTCTGAAGAAAAAAATGAACGTTTTTGTTGGTGTGCTAGACAGCTAGTGTTTATACTTACTGGATATTAAAAGGGAAGCTTTGCTGCCCAGATATTTACAAAACCAGCAAACGTCCTAATGAAAACTGAAGTGATGACATTAGCCATTCCTTAGGGTAGGAGGAACAGATGGATCTTATAGACCTATGACAAATATATATATATAAATATATATATAAAATATATATAAATATATTTTAAAAGTTTAGTGAATATGGTAAGCTTTTGTTCATTTGTTTCAGACTTTTTTGCTCCTGTAAAAAAATAGTACTGATTAACTTTTTTAAAAAGATTTTACTGTAAATAAGGATTTTTTGGTCTTATTTCTGTCCTTCCCCCCTGTTTTTGTTATTGTAACCTGTAGTGCCAACTCTGTCTCTGGAGGGTAGTGCAGGCTGAAATGCTGACCCTGGCGTTGCTTCTCATTCATAAGTAGGTAGAGAGTTGTTTCTCCAGTCTTTTAGGAACACAGGACTTTAAAGTCTCATCATGTGTAGATATTACAGGCTGCATTACTGCGACGTGGCAAAATGCATTTGTCTGAATCGTAATGTTGCTCTTGTTGACCCTATTCTGGGATTTTCAGAGGTACAAGGTTAGAATGCTACAATGTTACCACTGTGCCTTCCAATGTTTATATCATCAGAAACATTACATAATCAAAGTGGCTGTGATTTAACAAACCGATTAAAGTGTTATCTATGTGTGTAGCCTAAATAGTGTGCAGTGAGGCGTTTCTGAATACATGGTCAGATTTTTTTGGGGGAGGGTGGGGAAACATCAATTGGAAAAATTGCAAGCAGTGTGACAGATTTGATTGACTTTCTTTGTTCATTCTTTTCTTGTTTTCAAGTGGATTACTTAAATGTAGACCACTTGCTGCCTCCTCCTTCATTTGCAAAATGCCAATATTCAGTCATCATGCAACATTATAACAAGCCTTATGAGTCCTAAAGCATTACGTTGCACTTTCTTGAGGAGGGGGTGGGTGGGTAGTACAGTATTTCTCTGGCCAGTATGAATGAAGTTTTTACTTAACATATTTAATAGTAACATAGATCAAACTATGGCACAGCAACTAATCAGACAACTAGCTTTGAAGTCTGGGCACAACTGAACCAACTTCCATAGTGAATCTTATAATGATTGACTTTGGTGTACAGTAAAATTAACAGATAGTGCTCCTAGTTAAGTATTTGTCAGCATCCTTTTGTCTCCAAATCTAGTTTCTATTTTTACAGCCACACAAACCTGGCATGTATTTTAAATAAAATCTCTCTGTTCAAGTAGATTTTCCACCTTTCAGCACTGAGTAAATGCCATAAATCCATCAAAACGGTCTAAATGTTCCATCTGTTCTCCTGTTTTGCCAGTTATATAGTAATGAAAAATACATTTGTAAATTTTATGCAACAAATGGCAAACGTATCATTATTTTGAAATTGTGTATGTAAAAGTTATATTTTTACATGTAGACTCTTGTTATTATGTGTTTTAATACATTGTATCAGTTTTTTGTTTAAAAACAATCTGTGTGGTTGAAAAAAGTCTCATTTAAATGAAATAGTGAGATACAAGAATCTGAATTTTATGTTTGTTTCTGAAAACGTAAAGAACAAATATGATAGTTAACATGTGATCACCTTCTACATACCCATAAACATTTTGATTAGCTGTGTGTGTTGAAACCTGTAAATATGTTCAATAGTGGTAAAACTTAAAATGCTTTGATTTGTTTATAAGTTTCTCAAATGTGGAGGTGGATTACATCATTAGGTATACACAGTAGAGCAGCAACCACAAAATAAGTCAGAATTACAAATGAATATTACTGGTTTAAGTCAGAATTACAAATGAATATTACTTTAAAAACTGTGGACTTTTAACAGACCTGGTTTATATGAAAATGAGTGTGATAAAAATTAATCTCACTCATTAATGATAACTGTGCTTTTGTATGCTGGTATCTTTAAGGTTTCTCTTTATCAGTATCATATGCATTGATGTCCTCTGTGATATAAAGAATGAAACAACAAATGAACTAACAATTGCAGGAACATTATAACCCAGAAAATCATATTTTTAATCTGTATATGTACACATCATGTTTAGGGAACTGAAAATAGCCCTTGACTATTGGGAAATTTTAAGAGTTTTGTTTCTTATAACTATTATCAGAAAAAATGCATTATAAATCTAAACTTATGTTTAATTTTGAAAAAGCTGAACAAAAATAAATGTTTGCCTTATTGACATTTTTAACAAATATTAGTGTAGGGGTTTCCTTGTATTTTTTCACTTATAATTGTGATTAAGTAGAAGTCTGTACCAGTCAAGAAGGTAATGATTTTATAACAGACTTCCCTTTTAGAAATAAAATATCTTGTGAAAGGTAAACCTTTATCCAGACTTTGTTTAACAATGTGGATGCCTCAATGCTACTCGGATTCTGGATAGGCTGAGATTTTTTTGAAAAAAATGAAAGGCAAGTGTGTAGTGTTTGATCCTTTTTTCCCCCTTTTCATTATTTCCCATCCCAAGGGAAGAATTACTGTCCCATGCTAGATTTGTTATAGGTATTTAGCTGATGATACTAAGATTGCAGAAGGCTGCGTAATGCAGGATAATATACCTAGCTTACAATCGTTTAAGAAACACTATCTACATAGCAGCTTTTTACTAAATGATCCACCTCCACATTCAAGTAATTTATGACTATGCTGAATAGGGAATCTTCATCTAGAACTTTTTAACCATTTGTCTTCTGTGTAGCTGCAAGGAACACTAACGTTTATACAACTGTCAGTCCTACCAGTGATGCAACTTGTACTGATTCAGTCTTCCGATTTTTTGGGGGTGGGATGGGTGGGAGAAGATGGGAAGTCAGGGAGAGGAAAGTTTCATCTTTGTATCCACCAGGCAGAATCTGATCTGTGTCAAGAAGTGAACTATACAGTATATTGCCAGGAATGAAGATATTTTGGCGGAAACAAGCACAAAAAAATGAGAATTAGTCCACTGGTCGACTGGGGGAGGGGAGGTGGAATATGATTAATTCCAACACATGGGGCACCATGGCCTTTTGGGGCCTATCTTTTTGTTTTGTTTATGTTTTGTTTGTTTTTTAAAGACATGTTCTTTCTCATGGGACTTGAAGTTGATTCATATTTGTGCAGTGCTGGTTTGACCATACTCATTTCAAGTATTATAGACTTATGTAATGGTGAAAATATATGAACTGTGGCCTTTTTCATTCTTGTTACTTGTGATGCAATTAAGTGAAGATAAGAAAAAAACAGCAGAGATTTACCATGTATCAGTGCCTGGCTTTTTGTTATAAAGCTTCGTTTGTCTAGTGCTCTTTTTGCTATAAAATAGACTGTAGTACACCCTAGTAGGAAAAAAAACCCTAAATTTAAAAATAAAAAATATATTTGGCTTATTTTTCACAGGAGCAATCCTTTTATACCATGAATATTATGGAAAAAATTGTCAGATTCTGAATATTTCTTCTTTGTAGATTTTTGGAATCATTCTGAGTAAAAGTTTGTTACTTTATTTTACTATTTAAAAGATGTTATTTTACCATGTGTTACTGAGATGAAACTGTATGGTAGCTTTTTTCTTTTAGTTGTAGGTCGCAACGGGGAAAATTTTGCGACTGTTCACATAGCTACAGCAGTAAAAACAAAACAACAAAAAAATGGGAAAAATGAAAAAAGGGAAAAAGATTTTTAAAAAAAGATAAACAGTTACACCTTGTTTTCAATGTGTGGCTGAGTGCCTCGATTTTTTCATGTTTTTGGTGTATTTCTGATTTGTAGAAGTGTCCAAACAGGTTGTGTGCTGGGTTCCTTCAAGAACATTAAAAAAAAAAAAATACAAAAAAAAAAAAAACACAGCTTGGTGTAGGCCATTACCTGTTTCTCATCTGTAGTTATTCGATGCCGTCATGTACATGACCGTTCTGTAGCAATAAATGTGCCATTTTTATAAACTGTTTCTGACACTTTTGTTTCATTTCATTTTGCATTATCCATACCCATGGGTGCTGCAGGAAGTGATATTGATGATCAGTAGGTGGCACTATTTCCTCTGAGTAAACCAATGGCATTATGTTGACATTGGTCGCATTGCAGATATTATGTTTCAGGTGAGACTAAAAACTGAGCTCTCGACCCTCTAATTATTAAAGCTCCCATAGAATTTTGTTTTGGTAAAAGTAAAAGGTGTTCACTTTCACTCGGGCCTTCTTGCCAAATTCCATCATGGATCATTTCAATTTGCTTACTTAGAGTGCCCTATTATTATAATAGAAATCAGTGTTTTTTATTTGTGACCTGAATTGTTGTGTTGTGATGCTACGCACTGTAAACGAATTTAAGCATTTCAACATAGACGGCTGCACTTTAGTGTAATTTTAAATCTGTTGGTAATATTTGTAAAGCACTTCCAGGTCCTCTTGGATGAAAATGCTATATAAATATAAGATCATTTTCACTCTCATTATCATATAGCTCTGATTCTATTCTGTAAGTTCAACATCTGTATTTCACCTTAAAATTATTTCAGCCATTGAAAGAGTACTAAGCACATGTTATAACAAGGATGACATGTCATAAAAATTGTATTGGAACACATGGAAACAAAAACCAAAACCAAAGCAAAATGCTTAAAGCAGTAACCCATTGGAAAAATACATTGATTTTGTTAAATCTGAAACTATGCATTTGAAGAAATATAAACTGTACTAGTGCTTTGATATGCTGCAGATTGCCATGTCCAGTCAGTTTTCACCTTACAAGGTCAGTATTTCAGCTTTTCGGCAGAACCTTCTCTGCTATGTTTTCGCTGTTAGAGCTGAGTTAAGGCCTCAGATGAATGATCATTACAAGTTGAATATTGTAAACCAGAATCACTATTTCATTGTATTAACATTCTTGTTGGCCTATTGGATCTTATCAAGCCAGATGTGTACCATGGTTTTCCAACTTGTACATACTATTTGCATCACATATTATAAAAGGAAAATTGTACAGATTAAAATGATTGTTGCATAAAGCACTGTAAGTGATATTTTTGTAGAATAGACATTGACGGTCTTTTGGAGAAACTAGAGATTCTGGTTGTACACAACATTTATATAACATACACATGAACTTCCATTGCAGATTGTCACATAGGATTTGTTCATCCTATACAGTTGGTAAATCCACGATCTTTTTTCAGCTCTCATTCACTTCTGTATTCTTGCTAAAGTGATGTAACAATTGCAATATTTTCATCCAGAGGAAAATGTTACAAAGCCAGTTCATTAATGGCCCTCTAGAATAAAACATTGGTGTGTGTGTGTAAATATTTTAATATGTCATGAAAATTCCAAAGAATCTGGATAACACCTTTTAATCTTACAGTAAGAATATACCAATCCAAAACATATGTATGTTTAAAAAACAACAAAATAGAACTGCAATTATTTAGTCTTTTATAATTTGACGAGACTAAACAAGGCAAAATGAGTGCTCACATATTTGTCATTAATTTTGGTATAGCCATTATAATAGGTTTCGTAACTGTGGTACATTAACTTTGGACACTAGCCCTTTAAGTAGAAAGTTTTCTCCTTGACAGATATTAAAATGATTAGAAGTACCTTCTAGAGGTAGATTTTGTAACTCAATCTGGTCTGTTGAGATTAGAGATAAAGGGAAGGAGAGCATAGAAATATTCCTGCAATACTGTATATATCTCTTGCAAAGGTGTTGTTCCTAACTGGCTTTCATGTAAGTGTGTGGGATCTCAAGACTCCTGAGGATCAGGAAAACTCTCGCTCTTTCTCTTCACTCTTCAGGTGATCTGAAGAAGAGCTCTGTGTAACTCAAAAACATAACTCTTTCACCAACTGAATTTGTTGCTATTACCACAAACATCTGGTCACTCTGAAGATAAATATGTTTGATGAGAGGATTCTGTTGTGTGTGAGAAGTTTATTCCTGGAAAGTTAAGTCAGAGAGATGGGATCTGCATTGCATTTCTGAATGTGGCAAAGGGGGCAGACATTTTTATTTTATCTAGCGATGAGTTTCAGGCAATTGGCAGTGACATAATCTCTGTAACCTGTGTTGGAGAACAATCTACTTACCGCTTTCTGGGCTAGATGTACTTTGGGACATTAGACTTTACTCCTGGGTATAAGAAATCATGGCAGATCACTTGTATTCACTAGCAATACCTGGCTCTAATATAACACTTTTATCCATAGAAATCAAACCACATTTCCAGGATATAAATATATTTATCCTCATTTTATATACGAGGAAACAAATGGTGAGTTAAGTGACTTACCAAAGGTCACTTGGAAAGAGCCCAGGTCGTCTGATTCCCAGCCAAGTGCTAGCCTCACTAGACCACACTGCCTCCTCCTAGTTTTAGTACATTTTTAGGAACTTTACTAAGGCATCAAGGTTTAAACATGTTACAATGAGCAATAACTGAATTCCTATTTACAAAGAGGGAGAGGGATCTCAGTAATACAAGACCTTTTATATTATGCCTTGTCATGGCTATTTTTTTCTATGAAAAGTAGAGACTCCACATTCCTTTTAAAACAGAAGGCAAGAGTTAAAAGGGATTAAGAGCATTTTTGGATCCCCTTTATAGGTATAAATATTGTACAAACTAAGAAATCCCCAGTATTCTATGGGGTGACTAGTATTCTATGGGTGTAGGAAAGGAGTTAAGGAAAATGTTAGCTGTTGGGCTAACCAATTTAGCCATGAGATGTTTACATTCTTAGTTATGGTATGTCTTACCTCATACCGTCTGTT